GTTGTCCTCTCCTGTAGGTAATTTTTCAGGGTTTTTTTTTTTTTTTTTTTTTTTTTTTTTTTTTTTTTGAGTCTTTCTCCACATGGATAAGATTCTCCCTGCGGTGCTCTTCTGTAGGAAGCATTTGGAAATGAACTAGTTGCGACTGGGACCTTCCTTTAGCTCTTAGTCTGTTCATTTTTTTTTTTCCTCCTTAGGAGGATCCCAAATACTTTTGTGCAGCTAGGGAAATTGCAATGTAGAGGGTACTGGCTTCTGCTTCTGGAGACAGCCAGGAAAGTCCAGGGGAAGCAGAGGCAGATTCATAATTGCATTACTTTATGCCATTTAAAAATCCATTTGATAGCCAGCTAAAAGTAGCAGAGGTGATCTGAATTGCTGATCAGGCACTTGCAAAAGGAAATGTTCTCCAGACTCTGTTTTTATAAGGAAAGTCAGCAAGTCTTTAAGGGCAACTCCAGTGCTATTTTAGCTTCCCAAATGGGCTTTTTGTAACAATTGTGTCTGATGCTGTGTGTAGGGGTAGGGAAGGAAAAGGAGAGTTCAAAGAAGAGTATAAAAGATAAGGGAAATCTTAAGGTAGGGTGTAAGAATTATGCTGCTTGGATAAGGGACCTTGTTTAATAGAAAGCCCTTCTTTCAGAGAGTTGTTTCTTGTTAGTGCTAGAGAATCTGGGAGCACAAATGGCTTGCATCAACCAGCAACAACTGTTTCTTCAATTTGGACAAGAGATCTCTAAACATAGATGTAACTACCTGAAAATCAGCTGACTTATGTAATTTTTTTTTGTCTTTGTTTCAAATATTAGACGAACTGGAGCTGTCACCCACATCAAGATCCAGAACACAGGGGACTACTATGATCTCTATGGAGGGGAGAAGTTTGCTACACTGGCTGAGTTAGTCCAGTATTACATGGAACATCATGGGCAGCTCAAAGAAAAGAATGGAGATGTTATAGAGTTGAAATATCCTCTGAACTGTGCTGATCCTACATCTGAAAGGTTAGAGAAATGATAGTGAAAGCCGTAGTGTCCATGCACTGCTAACTAAATGCATGAGTTATCACTGTTAACACAAGAGTCTGCTTCCATTTGATGAACATGTAGCCCTATCTTATACTACCGCTAGTTCCATGCTTTCAGTGAAATTACTTTCAAAGTAAACTAATAAATGTGATTCTGAAGAAAATAGGTCTTGAGACCTTCCTCCTGGCATGATATAATAATAAAAAAGAGGGTACAGTTCCCCTGATTTTTATTGTGAGACTGTTTTACAGTTCTCCCAATGCTTCGTGAAGCCCTTACATACTACAGGGAATTCTCGGGTATAGTTTTAGGCATAACTTTATACAGTTGTTTTTTTCCCAGCAGGCATGTGTAAGTGAATGATAAATGCAAATGTTTGATTGCGATCTCTTGTTCTTAGGTACATGGGTAAGAAGGAGAATCTCAGACTTCTGGCATATATGGAGGGGGAACATGTCAGAAATAAACATCTCTGGCCAGTAGATGTCAGTTCATTCCTGGAAATGAAAAAGCAAGGAAAAACATTAAAACAACTTGCTTTGTTCATCAGAATAGCTTTTATTTAACAGGAGCAGGGAAGTCTGCTAACAAAAGAAAGCATTGAACTGGGTGCAAGTGCATGCAACAAGAAATGGCAAAAGCTATGAATTTCTTTTTTTCTCCCTTCAGTAAATGAAACTTTTACATTCTTTCAATAATTGCCTGAGGCTTTTGGTGATTATTGCCTTTCTAGCCATGTTTCTAGAAGGAATGAGACTTAAGATTATCCTAGCCCGTTGGAATATGATGGAAGGGTGAGATCTCAAAGATAAGAAGTTCCCACAGGTTTCTTGGGAACAGACATCCCAGTGAAGGAAATGGAACAACAGTAAAAACTTCAGTCTTGACTGAGGAAAAAGCTGCAGTGTGAGCTCATACTTACTAGAGAGAGTTACAGAGAGTCCTTTTGCATTGTTGTAGAGGATCCAACCCAAAACTTCATTTGAAGCTTGCATGAAATGCACACTTTGGTGCTTGTAGAAGTACTTGTTGTGAGCTCTTTCTGGAAAAACATGTGTTCTTATAGTAGCGTCTCTGTCTGCTCCTTTTTCTATTTAAAGGTGGTTCCACGGGCATCTGTCTGGAAGAGAAGCTGAAAAACTATTAACTGAGAAAGGAAAACATGGAAGCTTTCTTGTGCGCGAGAGTCAAAGCCACCCTGGGGACTTTGTTCTTTCTGTCCGGACGGGAGATGATAAAGGAGAGAGCAATGATGGGAAATCTAAAGTGACACATGTCATGATTCACTGCCAGGTAAGACGAAGCAGGAGCTTCTCTAACAGTGCTGCTTCTAGGGGCAGTGAGTTTTTTATTCTAGCAGCAGGGCTCTTCTACACCGCTCGTGTGTTCAGGGAGTTCAGTACATTACCCCTTTCCCCATGGTGCTGTATGTGCAATATATCATCCCTTGGATCAAATTGGCTACTTCGATAGTTTCAACGTTCAATTAGTGTTTTGTTTTTGACTGCTTGCCTGACAGAATCACGTCATGCTGCACTGTGCTGTCAAGTACCTTCTAATAGATTTAACTTTGATTGCATCAGAAGTCTGTCTCTAATCTGCTGTGGATGGAGCCCTTCATGTTCGTGAATCATCTTAAGCAGGTTGCTGTCTTTTGGATAAATCATATAAAAATAGTGGTAATTGGGCAAATAGAAACCCATCTGAGTGTATCTGTTTCTCCTGTCATTTTTATACTGTCTCTCTTGACAGATGAGCAGCATTCAGTAAATATCTTGGTTATTTAATCCAAGGAACATTTTAAATCAAAAGCTTCTCCATTTAAGTACTATTCCATTACAGTTTTCTGATTTTCGTATGTGCCCAGAATTTGCTGTTATTTTACAAAATCTATGCACGTTTTTTCCATTTAGGACAAAAGGTGTTTCAATAATAGAAAAATTTAGAGATAGAATTTGCTACCTAAGCCTTTAGAAGCTGTCACTGCTATAACTATTAAATTCGTGCTGGGAAGGTGGAGACATTTAGATAGAAACTGTTTTAAAATGTGGGTGTATAAGGGACCTTAAAGAAGTCATGTAGTCTATCTTACCAAATCTGTGCAGTTCTACATGAAGGCAAGCTTATTCCTTTTAGTGTATTTTGTTTGAATGATAACCTTTCAAGAAAACCTGTCATTGATTTGCAAAGACTACCATTAGCCTTTGAGACTGAGGAAAAAAAAACTTTACTTTCTTGAGGTTGGGATGGTACCAGCCAATACCAGCCTTTCAGAACCCTAGTGATTGACTGTTTTAGGAATTTCACTGTGTTTCCAAAGTTAGCTTCTGGATTCTGGTCTTGCAGCTCAGGTAGTCTGCTTGAGCTGACTAAACATTGTTTCAGAAGGAAACAGCTCTCAAGGAGGCAGATAAAGTGGCTTTCCTTGTGGAGGGCAGTCTTGTTTGTCACCTACGTGAGTGTGCCTGTGCATGTGTTTCCTGTTATCTTTTTATTAAAATTCTATCATCCTGTAGTGGAAGGGCCTTCTAGATCTCTCTACATATATTTTAAAGAATTTTTCTCTTGTATTTCATAGCTTGAAAATATTAGCGTAGGCTTCATCATAAGTGCATTTATTTTGATGAATGAGCATCTGTCTTTCAAGGAGCTGAAATATGATGTTGGTGGAGGAGAGAAATTTGACTCTCTGACAGATCTGGTGGAACATTATAAGAAAAATCCTATGGTAGAAACTTTGGGCACAGTATTGCAACTGAAACAGGTGAGTGAATGGAGAAGATGCCACTAAACTGTGTTACCCTCAGCACATACTGTTGTGGAAGTGCAGTATTTTCCATGTGTTCTATAAGACATAATTTTCCTAATTGGAAAAAGAAGTACATTTGTGAAACTTAGTGACAAAGGCAATTAAACTAGTACAATTTTGGAGTTACTTGTAAGGGATATACTTCTGTGTTTCTGGTGTCTATAGAACTTTCCTAGGCTTCATCATGGCCCATAAGGATTGCAAGAGCAGTCCAGAGATAGGATAACTTAGTGCACTGAGGAACAACTGTGAGGCTTTAGATAAAAGCTGTTGTTCCCTCCTCCCTTCCCCCTATTTACATGACCTGTAAAATATTGAAGGCCAAATAGATATCTGGATCCTAAAATTCTACTTGTGTTACCTATACAAAATATATATAGTCTGTATTAATATAAAGGTGTACATGTGCTCATTGGTATACCCTCGTTTAATGTTCTGTACCTCTCTTAGCCTTTGAACACCACGCGGATTAATGCTGCAGAGATCGAAAGCAGAGTGCGGGAGCTAAGCAAGCTAGCAGAGACTACGGATAAAGTCAAGCAGGGCTTCTGGGAAGAATTTGAGGTACTTCATTATGTTTCAAATATTATTCTAATGCTGGTGAACTTTGGCACTGCTAAAAAGCTGGTTTTGTTACTGCCTTCCCAATAGTGCTTCCCCCCTCCGTCACTTCAGATCCTTGTCCTTGTCCCCTTTTGTATTAAGTACAACTCACATGAAAATCTAGCAGTTCTTTCATGCCCCTTAGCTGAATGGTTGAAGCGTTTACCTTTTTATCCAAGTTGTTCAATGCTGTTCACTCCATACCTAAGCGTGATCCCTCCTGTACATAACGGATTCCAAACTGTTAAGAGGTTGGAATGACTCAACAGCTGCATGTGAATGATGATCATAGTGAGGAACTTTAGAAGTGATATAAACTGGCCCATTATATTTAAGACAAACACAAATCTGTAGTGGAGTGTGGAACTCCACCGGCAGATGGCAACAGGAAATTGGGAAATTCTGTGATCTAAACCCCATTGTAAAGAGGCTGGTTTGGGCTATGTAATGCAGTTCTTAAGAAGCTACTTGAATAGTCATGGCTTTGCAAAGCAACAGTCCAAAGAAACTCTCTTCTGCTCAAGTCACCAGCTCAGAGCACTCTCCAGTCTGCTTTCCCTTTTTTGGAAGGGATATTTGGGGGAAATAAAGCCATGAAAAGCAAGATATCAAATATTTTTACAAATGTGGATGCAGTACAAGAAGGTGGGGTGATGGGGGAAGTGGAAGGATGTAAAATGGAAGTTCTACTTCCTGTTCTTTGAAACAGTTTGTTCTCCTAATCTACTGCCTTCAAAGCCTGAAATAACTAGGACACCCCTCTGCAGTGAAGAAGGAGCAGGAAAGCCCAAGGTAAACACAGCTGGTAAATCACAGACAGCACCTGAACCCCATCACTACAGACTGGTAGCAATTGGCTTTCTCTGAGTTTGCCCGATGTGATTTGTATTGGGTAGCTAACCTGGGAGGCTTGAGTCATGTGTGGCTTGTAGGCATGTGAAGGCTGGGCCAGGTGTGCTGAGCACTCAGAATTCCAAGAGGAGGTGGAAAACAAGACAGCAGAGGCTGCTGTGCTCATTACAAAGGAGTTAGGGCTCTGTTTGTGAAGCCTCCCTGGCAGCAGAGTGCTGGGTCTTGTGTGGGGCAGTTTTCATGCATTGTTTGTGAGCCCTCTCAGGGGTGAAGTGGCCTCAGCCCTTGAATTGCCTCTTTTGGAACATGCAAACTTTGGTATGTGGCCCGAAGGGTCAGCCACACCTGCTCAAATGGCCAAAACTTGCATTTGGGTTGAACTGCTTTTTCCAGAGACTCTGGTCAGGGATGTGCTTCATATCATGGTGTTTAATCTAGATTGTGCCTGTGATTCCTAGATGCTTTAGCCTGAGCATGCAACGAATGTGGTTTTGCAAGTGAGCCAAGCGTCTGTTAGCAGCCTTCCCTGGAGACTCCATGCAGACCTCACTGTTACTCAGAGGGCAGGAGAAGGAAGAGTTCCCAGTTGCCTTGCCCTAGTTATTGGTACTGCCTCATTGGCAGCCCTGGGAAGTGATGATTTTTCTTGAAGAAAGCACTCCTGCGCATGATGCCTTTAGGAAGGGATTCTTGATCCTCCAAAAAGAACTAAGCTGCTGCTTGGCATTCAGGGTTCCTTTTCTGACCTATGCTCTTTGTGGATTAAACTTGCCTTGTTATGAATGTGACAGCTGCTCCTTAGAAGCAAGGTGTTTTCCTGTCCTGTAACCTCTTAGAAGACAAGTTGAAAGTCGCACAAAGAAAGTATTGGTAAGAGATGAAAGATTCTTACTGTAAAGCATCCCACTTTTCTTCTCACTACTGTTAGGGAGGGCAGCACTAATCTGTAATTTATGATGTGCTATTTCTGGGGGGAATAAAGCAACCTCGTAGCAGTTTTAATGTCCTGGATTTTTTTTTATTCACCTCTAGTTAAGCAGTGGCTGTTGGTCTCAGGAGGAGGCATGGAAGCAAACTCTGGATTGCCTGTGAAACTCTGCTTGTGCTGTTTATGGCTTGACTGTCCAGACAGCAGTTATAAATTACTTGTCTTTAGGCATATTTAAGGATGTGCCTCTTGCCCTATGAGCCACTAGGCAGAAATGTTGGCAGTCTTCTGTAATGTTTTTTGCTTCTGAAAAATGGCTGTTTGGTGAGTTTAATGCTTCAATAGTGTAGTAAAATACAGAACCATGATTCAGATTTATTGTTGCATTATGTATATCTCTTAATGGACTTGTTACAAGTTGCTGCTGCTCATGGATATCTCCTCAGGGATGCCCAAAGCAATAATAAACTGTATGAAGTGAAGATGTCTGAAGCTACTGTTTCCACACACTTGTTTCTCTTTTATAACCTGCAAACAAAGCTTAGCTTTTGGTTCTCTTGCTTTGTGTTTCGTTTGACCAAGACCTCAAAGTGTTACGTTTTGATTATTTATATGAAGGTTCTCACTAAATACTGGCTTAGCCAGGCATCTAAAATTAAAAAAGAAAAACCCATTTGCAAAATAGCAAGAGGCAAGCTCTTCTGCCCAGCGCTGTTTCAGCCATGGCTGGTAATAGAGGCAGTGCTTGTGGGAACGTTTGGCTTTGCTTCACGACATGAGGCCTCTTAACTCTTCTGTGTCTGGTTTCCCTTCTCCAGAGTCTTTGGTTTTTCTGTTTGTAGAAGGAACCTAATTGTCCAAGGTCACTACGTGAGTCAGTAACAATAATGGAGACCAAAATAGAAGTGAGCGAATGTGCCTGACATGCCTAAGCTTTAAAGCAAAAGTCACCTCTGAAAGAATATAAATGGTGGTAATGGCAAAAGGAGCAGCTCCCCGAGTCTCAGGATGATCCTCTTAGAAACCAAAGATATCTAGTTTGTGGTCCCTCTGGCTGGGTTGCCAACAGGGAGATTTGCTACCAAGCAACGCTGCTGTGAAGTGTGGAATTACTGTTGTCCCTGTCACATTAATTGTGAATCGGACACAGAGAAGTTACAGCCTTGTCAACAGGAGGAATCTCTATGCAGATTTTCTTGTTTCTGTATTGGGGTGATTTATATTGGCTAACCCTGTTTGCAGTTACCTGAGCAAACTTAAACATCCCCAGCATTCTTAGGCTAGGAAAGGAAAATCTGGACAAAATCATGTAGAAGAATCTAGGAAGTGCTGTGTGAGGAGAGGATGCCTTTTCTTTGCCCCCCAAAAATGCCAATGTGCAACAATTGGGGCATTTTTTAATATTGTCTATACTTTTGGCAATACTATAGCATTCCCATGGAGACTTCAGCCTCATTGATTTGACTAGAGGTAGGTAAGAATCTTATTGCTGAACGAAGTCGAACTCTCCTCCCAAGTCCATTGGCCTCTCCTCCCTGGTAAGCCAGCTTTATAGCAGCTGAGTGTGTAGTAATTAACTTGCCAAACGAAGGAAGCCAAGTTTTGCCACTTTCTTACATGTAGGAAAGGAATAGCAATGCTGAGTTGAGTTTGAACGGAAAAACCAGGATCTCTCTCCCAGATCGCTGACGGGTGTTATAATCAAGTGTCAACTTTCCTGTAAGAAAGGTCGGCAGAATTGGTGGTGAAAGAGGCTGTGCTCTCTTCTTTACTGATGTGTTGCTGCTTTTAATGGAACCAGTTATTTGTGCTGTTTTCATCTAGACTTTACAACAACAAGAATGTAAACTTCTATATAGTCGCAAAGAAGGTCAGAGACAAGAGAACAAGAACAAAAATAGATACAAAAACATTTTACCCTGTAAGTACTACTTTTTTTAATTATAACATAGATCTCATAGGCTCTTTATGCTTTTTTAAGCTTTATTTTTGTTGGCAATAAATACAGTGTTAATTAAGCACCAGTATGCTCTGTTTTGTTTCTTTAATGGTGACTTATGTTGTCAAATTAGTCTAAGCCATTTCCAATTTGTACATGAATATGTGGTCTTTGTAGATACAGATATTTTGATTCCCTAATATTGTGTTTATCTTCAGCTTTCAAACATAGGCATCACATTCCTGAACTGTTATTCAGTAATTGGAATGCTTAAATTTAAGGGGATTAATTTATGGTACAAAACTGCATGGAATGAATCTAGTGGAGCTTATAAGCCCATTTCTATTGACTGTCCATGCCCTCGTGGGTGCTAACTAAGGTGAATAAACATTTAGATGCCATGATCCAGTTTCTTAAGAACTGGACGCTTGCCTTAACGAAAGGAAAGGTTGAGTGTTCTGACCACTTGTTTGACAGTTTGGTTTCTGGTAATGATATGAAGTTACCTCTGATAGATATTTAAAAATAGGCATGTGTTTACAAATGTAGGACACAACTGCTTAACGTATTTATATGTACTCTTCTAGTTGATCACACCAGAGTTGTTCTACATGATGGTGATCCAAACGAACCGGTTTCAGACTATATCAATGCTAATATTATTATGGTAAGTACACTACTACCTAATAGTATCTTATTGGCATAACCTATACCTATTCTTTAATGTGCTTACCTGATTCCAAGTTACTCTTTATAAGTCTCACTTGTCATTGTTTGTTAAATTGTGTTTTGTCTCTAGCCTGAATTTGAAACAAAGTGCAACAACTCAAAGCCAAAAAAAAGCTACATTGCTACTCAAGGCTGTCTACAGAACACAGTGAATGATTTTTGGAGAATGGTGTTCCAGGAGAATTCTCGAGTTATTGTTATGACAACAAAAGAAGTTGAAAGAGGAAAGGTAAAAGCAACCTTAAATTGTCCTTGGGAAAAGTCACGCACTTGAGTGCAAGTAAGGATGACTTAGTTGCACTGACTTACGAGCTGAAAGTTGAAAATATGGTGATTTCTCTGGAGAACCAGAATGAAGGTGCCAAGTGTCCTCTTCTGTTGGAGCCTGTGGGAACAGAGATGCACTTTTGTCGTGTCATTGGTTTTATTCACTAAATTTTGATTTCTGAGTGTAAATGCAAAGTTATTCAGGGAATGAGCCTGTGAAATGACAAGCATATCCACAGAGGCGTTCTGCATGCTTTAAGGAGTTTATTTTGTCACAGAAACAAGAAATTTTGCTATTTATTTTTAGCTTGCCAAGGTTTTATAGACTTCATTTTGAAAAGTAGAATTGTGGGGTTTTATTACCATACAAATTTAGAAAAATTACAAAATGATAGGAAATTTGTTACCTCAAAATCACTGCATTCAAATGACATTTCCTGAACCCTGCTAGAATGCAACTCTCCCCTCTGTCTTGATTTTCCATGCTTGATTTTTATTACCATTCTTATGTGTTGAGCTAGTGATCTGGGCTGTAACTGCATCTGGTAGAGAGTCCCTCAAGCAGGCATGATTTAGCACTTTTATTCCTAAAATCAGGTCCTTTGCCTCTAACTTGTTCTGCATGAACACAGCTGTTTGTTCAGCCTCAGTAATCCGTGAGCCCCTTGTGAGCTGCTCTGGCAATATTCACTGCTTTGAAGCAGGAAATTTTCCTGCACTGATGTATTCCAAGAACCTCTCTTACCTTTTAAGCAGAGATCTTGCTTATTCACTGTCCTCTGGCAAATACGAGGCTGTTCTGTTTCTGGATTCTAATGGCATATGGCAAAAGAAAATAGAATGACAGAAAATAGTTGAATACTGATATTCTGGCAGTAGTGAAATTCCCCTTTCTGTATATAGTACAGTTTTATTTTGATTTGGAATGTGGGGTTTTTTTGTCTTGTTTTTTTATGTATACAGAAGATGATTATTAGATTTTTTTTAAAATTGGCTTCTGTTCTGCACATGGTTATCTAAACTGCTATTGCTGGTGTTTATAAAGCCATGGACTCTGCTTTGTGAATTTTCTAGAGGTAATAGCCTTGTGTCCATTCATTGCATTTTATGAAGGGAGCTTTGAAATTCTTGATTCTGTTTGTTTCCTGAGAATACACTGAAGGAAGAAGTTCCCACTTTTCCAGTGTCCTCCTTTAGATTTTTCTGTGGGAAAAAGAGAATTTTGGAGATTGGGAGATTGCTTTGGAAGGGGTGACTTGAATATTGTGTGGTGTTTTTTTTTTTTTTCCTTCTGATAACCTACTGACTGCATTCTGCATTTCCTCTATGAATCTTTCCAAATTGTGCAAGGCTGCTTTCTGTGCTGTGGCTATATATATACAATACTTTTATAAATACACATATATACACACACATATATATATACACATACATTTTCCCTCCCCTTTATGGTGCCTGTTTCAGTTCTTCAAAAATTGCAAATGACAGTCCCAATCCTGGTATAAAATAAAAGCTTTTTTATCTCAGGCCAGGGTGCTTTCAGATCTGCAGGAAGGAGAGACCCTCTGGATCAAAGATGACTTCATGAACACAGTGCCTAAGGAAGTGAGGAACTCTGAAATGTCTCAGATCTGCCCAGAACTCTGCACTTGCTTTAGAGTGCACTGTAGAGAACCAAACAAATACTTACAAATTAAAATAATGGTGTTTTGGAAGCAGTCCATTGAGCTGATCGTATCTGCATCCTCTGTATCAGACTAATGCTTGTTTTAACGTTGCATGTTACCACTGAGACTTATTTAGAGCACCCTCGCTCTGGTGTTCAGAGTTCTGTGTTGAAACTGTAGGCTGTATTGACATACACTGAGCTCAACATTTTGTGTTTAGCTTGTACCCTTTTGGAAAAGTGGGGAAAGAGGGCAAAAGTAACAAAAAAAGCATCGTGCTGCCTAAACAGGCTGGCAAGCATGTGTTCAAGCCTTATTTTTAATTGTCTTCTGCTGCAGAAGAAATTTCCTTGTTGCTATATTTTCATATCTGCAGTTACTAGTGCATATTTATGAGAAACGTTTCTGCACAGTACTTGACGTTCAGTCTGGATTTGCAATTGCTGGCAGCCCTGTCCGCCTCCCCGCTGTAATTTCTTGTCCAGATAATGTATGGACTAGCATTGCAGTCGCAGGTTAACAGGATTTGCTCTTTCCCAAGCTTTCACAGGAACCCAATGAAAGCAGTGATCCTGCTCTCTGGTGTGCGTAATATATCCCTGGCCAAAAATAATCTTCAGAGAGAAGTAGCACACAAAAAGCTCTAAGCTACTAAAGCCACGGATGCATTAGGCTTCATTCTCCCCACAGGGAGCAATTCTGGCGTGGTGGCTGAACTGGAGAGCTAGATTAGCCCCTTTTGCTTCGATTCTGAATGACAAACCCCCAGGTTTCATGTATGCTAAAAATGGTTCATGCCTTTGACTTGTATCTATCCTGCAATCTGTTAGATTCTGATTATAGAGCACCCTGCAAGGCTGTTGCATTCCGCTGGAAATTCTCACTGTTTTGAAATCGGTTTTTGGTGGGGATATAAGTAACTGTATCGTAGACCTATATTTTTGAAACTCTTGAGGATAAGCAGGTATTAAGACTGTCATGAAAGCTGCTAAGAGGAGAGATTGCCTGGACTGTTTTTGCCTCGGATCTTTCAGTGTGGGTGCGTTTTTGTTGAGGAAAAGAAACTTGTCCCTAAAGGTGCTTTACTTAGTCAGTTAGCTGGCCGGCTGGTGCTAGGAAATCTCCTCCACCTAAACAAATGAAAAGCTCCAATTTGTGTGTTAGCCAGTTCACGCAGCAGCCTTGCCTCTTGCTGATCACTTCTTTATTTTGAATCTTGCAGAGTAAATGTGTCAAGTACTGGCCTGATGAGTATTCCCTAAAGGAGTACGGTGTTATGCGGGTTAGGAATGTTAAGGAGAGTGCAGCACACGATTACACTCTACGAGAACTCAAACTCTCAAAGGTTGGGCAAGTAAGTATGTTGAGGGCTTTGTCCTTTTGATTCTGGGTGCAAAACAAGAAAAAATGCCAGATATTGACAGTTTACTTGGAGTCAATAGTCACTTGAGCCCTGCCCCCTTCATTGAATTTCCAGGTTTAGTTCTGTATGTTTTGTCTTTGGCGTAATTTAAAATTCATGTATTTGGGCACTTTTTGATAGAAGATGATGCATGTCTGCAGAGCTTTCAGGAAATCTGGAAGGAGGGATGATACTTCTCTTAAGTGCAGGTCACATTTCAGTCTAGCTGGGGCTTTACTGGTTTCCTTTCAAGGAGGTATTTGAGTGTCTTGTGTTATTATTAATCAAAGTACCTTTGGTCTGCCTCTGATCTAGGGACTTTCATTGTTCTCCAATGCTGGGTTTCCAGGTTCTTCAGATTGTTTATTTTTTGCTCTGCTTTCCCTGAAACTGCCCCACTTCTTGCCCCTGTAAATCTGGGCTTAAATTGTGGCACGGTGGTAAGACAAAGAACAGTAGGAAAGTGTATGAAGCTTGTTTGGCTTACTGAATATGTTAAGTGAAAATTAAACTGTTTGTATACGAGTCCAGCATCTAGAAAGACTTCTTTAAGTAAAGGAGTTGAAAGAGGAAGGAATGGGCAAAAAAATGTGGTAAGGAATGCTTTGGATGAGAAATAATAGTGGAAGAAGAAGCAAGCAGGGTGCATTAGGGGGTATTTGCATGACATGCAACGGAGTGGGGAGAAGCGTGCAAGGTAAGTGACACTACGTATGACAGTTCATAAGGGGTTAAACGAAGGTTGCTGTTGGTTAACATCAGGCAGAACCTTGCCATGGCTTTAACGGGATGGAGATAGTGCTGGGAACAGCAGCCTTAGAAAAAGGGGGAGTTAAGGAGGTTTAAAGAGGGGGGCGACGTGACCAAGCTGTCAGGCCAGGAAGAACTTGGACGTGTTCCCTCTTTTCAAGAGCGACGTGGTGCCGTGGATATGGAGGAGAAGGTTGGATATGCCACCGGTCCGAGGTGGCTTTGGCAAATCAGTGCTTTAACTGGGATTTGATCTGAAGGATTGCATTCTTTCACGTGTTGGCATCTTCCTTCCAGGGGAACACAGAGAGAACAGTCTGGCAGTATCACTTCAGAACCTGGCCTGATCATGGAGTGCCAAGCGACCCTGGTGGTGTGCTAGACTTTCTAGAAGAGGTGCATCACAAGCAGGAAAGCATTTCTGATGCAGGGCCAGTCGTGGTCCACTGCAGGTACAGTGCTGCACTGTGCACTCTCCTTCTGCAGGGTTCTGCTGGGCTGTCTTTTTCTGTGAGAGGGAGAGAAAAAAGCTAAAACCTTTAAAAGGAAGCAGCTTTACCCTTAGGCTACTTGCGTTTTCAGCTATCAAGCTCTTTTTGCTCTGTACATTTTGGAAAATGTTGCATTTTAGATAGGTGTCAAATGGTTACCTTTTAAGCAATCTGTCTTCCAGTGCATTCATGTTGGTAGGAATAAAAATTTCTGAGGCTGTATGAGAGGTGGTGTCAGTCTTGTCTAAATATATTTCAGGTTACAGGATCATGGGAATTTGCCTCCCATCCCACCTCCTGCAAGTGAGATATCACTCAGTCTCAGCATATAAATGAGATACTTTTCATAAGACAAGAAAGTATTAGGCTTTGCTTTGCAGTTCTTTGATTCAGGAATGTTAATAAACTGTAATGTACAGAAAATGCTGTCATGGCCTGCCACCTCCATGTAGGTTGTGTAGGTCTCTACTGCTTTGGTTCAATAGAATTCACCAAGGTTGACACTTGGGCTATAATTTGGAAGTTTTATGTGTCTTAATATTGGATGACTGCTTGGACTAGGGTTTCTTGCCTATTCAGAAAGAGCAACTTTTTTTTTTTTCCCCCTCTCCTCTTTTTACAGCGCTGGAATCGGACGAACCGGGACTTTCATTGTGATTGATATTCTTATTGACATAATCAGAGAAAAAGGTAGGGGTGTCCAGCACGGTGATGGCATCGGGTCTTTGCCAATAAAAGCATAGGAGTGTTGAACAGTATCTAAGTGTAAGGTGCAATGCACAATAGTATGTTCAGCTGGGTTGTTTTTAAAGTCATCTTGGAGCAGTGTGAAGGGGTGCAGCCTTCTCCTCTGGATCAGCCTTGCATTTTATCCTGTAGTTACAAAAGGCTGTGTATTGGAGATCAGAGAGGAATCCCATGTGTTCACTCTTACCAACTTCCCTTACTGCAAGAGCATCCAACTGAGCTAGGTGTGACTGATCTCTCCCCTAAGGAGAAAACTCATTTTGCTGTTCTTAAGGTTATAATGATCCTTTCTAGGGGTGGACTGTGATATCGATGTTCCAAAGACCATTCAGATGGTGAGATCACAGCGATCAGGAATGGTTCAAACAGAAGCACAGTACAGATTTATTTACATGGCAGTGCAGCACTACATTGAAACGCTACAACGCAGGATTGAAGAGGAGCAGGTATGTTTGTCCTAAATATGAAATGTTCATAGGAACATTTAATTGGAGTGGGAAGAAGAATGGTCCTTTTGCTTCCTGTGACTTTTGGAGGTGTAACTGCTGACTGGAGACCCAGAGCATCATGAAAAGGCTGGTTCTGCAGCTGGCTTGTAAATTGTGTTCAGATGAGCAAGCCCATGTTTCAATATGCAATTAAAAAACTCTGAAATAAAGAACAGTGTGTTTGACCAGTGGCAAAATGATTAGTGCGAGAGGCTTTTCCATGACTGCAGCTCTACCTGCCATGGCAGTGATTTGGTGTGTGGGATTCTGTCCTTGCTATCCCCCAGCCCCTGTGTCCCAGATTCCAAGCTCCTTTAATAATGTCTGGGTTTCTGAGCAGGAAGAAAAAACAAGACCCTGTGAATTGATGCAGAAGCTTTTGCTGTGAATTTTAAAGAGGTTTCAAATCTGTCAAGTGTATTTCTAACGTACAATAATCAAATTCAATTTGATATAAGCAGGATTCATTTAGCAGTCTAAATTGGTCACTGCAATATCTATTTTTGGAGTCAAAAATTGTGCTAACTATGGAAAGGTAAGTATATTGGGCTGAAAAATTATCAAGGTGCGTAGTGATCCTGCAATGCAGTATTGAGGGAAAAGAGCAGTTAGAGGAGAGACTTGGTGCAGTAAACTGAGGGAAGGTTTTGGAATGGGTGGTGATAACAGCAGTAGTGAAGTGGGTCTGTGGATATACCCTGTGGAAGTTCTGTAATCTGCAAAAATGACCTAATATTGTGATAAAGAACTGACTTTCTTCCTGCTGTTCTCTTTCCTCCTCTGCCCCAACCTTTGGTCTTCTGGATTCTTATCTTTTTTGTTTTGAAATTGCAGTATCTTCCCTTCTGGGGTTGCCTTGCTGCTCGGAAGGGGATAAACCTGCAAGACTGGTCAGGCAGATGTGGGGAGCTGCGTGTTCGTGGTTAACCAAGTGCCAGGCTGAGATGAGATCCCCGCTTAGACCGAGCGTGTCAGCTTGGGCTGGGCACTCTTGTGTGGCTCCTGGCTTCGCTGGAGTGTGGCAGAGCTTGTTTCCTACTTGCCTATATGATAGATGCAGCATTTAGTAGACAAGATAGATTTTCTTCTTCTCCCTAGACAGGTGTTTTGTGCTCTGGTGGTGATTAGACACAGTGAAGAACAAGAAATCCTTCGTGTTTTACTCTTTTCCTGCTTTGTTGTGTCTCTGCCCAGCGTTCCCTCCTGTGTGTGTAGCTCTGCAGTGCAAGCCCTGTGTCCTCTGCTCTTTCAGCTGCTGTCATCTACGTGTGGCTTCGTAGCAGTCTCTTGATTGCTGTGATGTTTTGCATAGTGTTTTGGTACCGAGCGAAGCATTTTCATTCTGTTACAGTGGTCAGGCTCAATTTAACTGCATTTCATCCTCTATTATATAACTAACTTGGGAGGAAGAAGTATAAAATTTCCTTAAACTGGAAAGGACATTGCTTTACCTTAAGCGATCTTGACCTATAGTGAGGGCTGGTGGCAACCGTGGGATTAAAAAAATGCTCTTGAGACAAAGCTAACCCTTTGGAGTGTCTTGGGAAAATAAATAAGTAAATATATAGCTGGTGGGTTGGAAGTGCTCCAAAGCTGCTTTGAGAGAGCAGAAAAAAATAAATGGAGATAAACAGAAAAGTC